TCAAGATCCCAGAGGGCAAGGAGTCAAAATTCAGAGATCCCAGAGGGAAAGGAGTCAAAATTCAGAGATCCCAGAGAGCAAGAAGTCAAAATTCATAGATCCCAGAGGGCAAAGAGTCCAAATTCATAAAAACCCAGAGGGCAAGGAGTCAAAATTCAGAGATACCAGAAGGCAAGGAGTCAAAATTCAGAGATCCCAGAGGGCAAGGAGTCAACATTCAGAGATCCCAGAGGGCAAGGAGTCAACATTCAGAGATCCCAGAGGGCAAGGAGTCAACATTCAGAGATCCCAGAGGGCAAGGAGTCAACATTCAGAGATCCCAGAGGGCAAGGAGTCTAAAAACATGGATTACACAAAGTTCAGCTTGATGCTAGTAGGAAAATCAGAAAGTTCAGATATGGTCCTTCCTCATTTTATTTGCACTATTTCATTTATTTACAGTCAGCAATGTGTAGAATAAAAAAAATTCATATTTTTATGTTAACTGCAAATCATCCTCAATGACAAAATAAAGAAGTGAGTACTCCAAACTGAACATCTCTATCAAGTACTCATGTAATGGGTAATTTGCACATACCTTTCCTTCCTGTGTTTTTCATATCTGATGTTACCCATCAATTCTTCTCACTCAATATCATTCTTCCTGTCAACACAGAATAGAATCAGTAAGTACATTTAGGCAAGGTAATCCTAAAATATACTTTTTCACCACCAACTTGCACTACTGTCTTTATTGATTTTGTTTGCATATATCGCAAGCACAAGTGCTGATACATTTAGCACATAAATGTTACAGTATACTGTAAAATGACTAATTTTCACTGGGATTAAATTTCTGGCATATTCAGTGGGTTTTAAATTCACGGTTTTGTCATTTAGATAATGTGTTCTATGCTAAATTTTACATATTCACTGGGTTTTAACTTAGCGCATTCTCCAGTCAATAAGCAAAATTAAAACCCAGTGAATAGTTAATCCTTTTACAGTAGTCTATGCCACAGAAACAATATTTCAAGGATTTGTGACTACCTTCCTGCAACAATGGCATTACAACAATTAAATGCACAACCCACATCAACCAGGCCTAGTTCGACACAAGTTGTAACATAGCTTATTCAGGGTTGTGCCAAAATACATGTAAGGTCTATCCCATGTTTTTAGCCTACTCAGAGCCTGTGGTATACTCATCCATGATAGGAATTATCTCATATTAAGTGTTCACTCCAAGGAGGATTTAAACTCAGGTCTAACAATCATGGGTCAAATGCAACAATTGAAAAACTTTAAATAAAAAATAAAAAATTATTTTTATTAAATAAATAAATAAATATAT